CGGATAAACCCCCACAAAAGGCACACAGCCCGGGCAACGAACAGATCAAGAACAGCAAATGCAGCAGCTGCTGCAGCTGCTGCAGCTGCTGTTGCGGTGGCCAGTGGCGCTGCAGCAGCAGCAATAGCCGCTGCAGCTCAGACAGTTCTTACTGGTGTCGATTAAGGCGTCAAATGCTATATAAGTTTCCCATATAATAAATTTTATTATTAAACTCGAAAACTTTGTAGCCTCAGTCTACTAACTGTCGTTGGATTAGGGCTGCCCGTTGGGGCTTCCGTCAGACAGCCGCAGCAGCAGCAGCGGCTGCTGCTTCTGCTGCTGTTGGTGTTGCCGTTGTTTTGCAGCTCCGGTTTGTTTGGCTCCCGCACCTGTGTCCATATTGTTTTGCGTTCCTGTTGTTCTTGTTTTTGCATGTTGGGCTCTTCAGGGTTCCCCGGTACCCATCCCTTCTTGCTGCACAAACACCTCGGTGCAGCCGCTGCTTCAGCAGCCTCTTGCCGTTGTGTTTGCGGTCGGTTGTTGTGGGGCCGCGAGTCGTTCGCGTCGGATTTTTTCTCTCTTCATTCTGCACTGAAAGGCACCCTGGGGCCCCTGTAGCTGCTGAGAAGTCCTGCAGGGCCGCCTAGGGGTCTAGTAAGGAGAAGGGAGGGCCCCTCTCTGGGGCCCCGCGGACGGTGGCGGCGTTAAGCACCAATATGAGCAGGAGATACAACAGGGGAGGCCTCTCTGAGGCCTCTGGGGGCACCTGGGAAGAGGAGAGGCCCCGCGGACGCGATGTAGCATTGAGGGACGGCGCGAGACGCACGGTGTTGGTGATGGGCCCTGGGGCCCGCAGGGGGGCCCACATGGGCTCGCCGGGGGCGGTAGAGACATCCCCAGGATTTCAGGAGAGGCCGCATGGGAACTCCCCGGTGTTGACGGCCCGGCAGGGCCCCCCCCCTCCCACCGATTCAGGGGCCCCTGGGGCCTCCGGGGGCCCTGGGGGCCCTGGGAGCACGAGAAAGCTTCCTTTCATGGCACTTAGCGACATCATACGGCAGCAAAACATCAAAGGAAAAGTGAGTCTGGTGTGATGACCATAAGGGGGTCTTCAGGATACACGGGGGGCCCCCAGGACATGCGGGCGCCCCACAGATGCATTGTCGTGGTTCTGCTGTATGCGTTTTTACACTAAGTGCTTCCATGGGCCCCCCTCATATTGAACTCTAAGGGGGCCCTCCATTGGAGTAATCAAGAGGCGTTAATATAGCGGGGGCGAAGGGGGGGTAAAGGGGTGAAGGGGCTTCCTTACACAGCCGTGGGGGCCCCCCTTGGCGGCTCTGTAGGGGGCCCCCTTAGGTGGTACTTGCTGTGCATTGATGTTTTTTGCGTGGTTGCGTTTTGGAGTGTATAGTCAGCTGCGGCGTTCTGTGTTTTGCGCCGCTTCCTCCTGCATTGCTTGCTGCGGTGCTGTGCCCACTATCAGCCGCTGCTCTCGCGTGTAGAGAGGGCTATGGCTCCTGGTGTCTGCTGCTGTTGTGTTGAGTGAATATGTGTGGCGGCAACAGCTGCTGCTACTGCTACTGCTGAGCCTGCTGCATGGGTGGAAGTGCTGCATCTGCTGCTGTGCTTTATGTGAATGAGCAGCAGATGCTCCGCTTGCTGCTGCTGCTGCTGCTGCTGCTGCTGCGTGGTTGCCTTTTTATGAGCAGCAGCAGCAACCGCTGCTGC